TAATGTTCACTAAGTTATTAAAAAAGTAGAAAATAATCTTCATACCTCGTACTCGGCAGAGTCCACTTTTGCGTCCGAGGTACGAAAATAAATAACTATATTTCCATAGTAAAATATTAATATTGTTTTTTAGCATCACGAAGTTGCCGATATTGTCAATGAAGTTGTTGAGGATATGGATTGCGTCACAGGTGATCCTGTATGGTTTGATGGAGACAAAGAAACTACGTCCGAAGCAATCAATTGCATCAACGAGGGTTTGGAATTAATAGGAACTTCACCCATCAAGAAGGATAAAATTTCTCAAAAGCACTATGCGACTGCCAAAATTGAAAACATATCTAAAGCCATTTCAGAAAATATTTTCCATTATTGCTGTGATGTAAGTGATGCTAGTGTTGAAGAAAATGATGGAAATCATATATTACAATTGTTGAGAGAGGAATTTAATGCAACGATAGATCATGAAGAACAAATGGAAATTTTGACTATTTTTAAGGATTGGTCTTTTCGCAAAATTACGCATCATTTTCCTTCCGCTACTTTTCACATGATAACTGTTGCAAAGAAAACTGCTCGCGAAAAAGGAATCTTAGCTGACTCTAGCCCAAAAAGGCATCCATCATTAACAAAAGACGTTATCGATTTAATTATCAACTTTTACGAAAATGATGAGAATAGTCGTTTGCTGCCAGGAAAATCGGATTTTGTTTCTGTCAAAGTAAGTAACGAACGTGTTCACATGCAAAAAAGATTAATTTTGACAAATTTAAAAGAGCTATACCAATTGTTTGAGGAAAAATACGCGGAAGTTAAATGTAGTTTTTCCAAGTTTGCAACTTTACGCCCAAAATATTGTGTCCTAGCAGTTGCAAGTGGGACACATTCTGTCTGTGTTTATGCCATACATGAGAACGTCAAGTCATTAATTGACGGGCCAAATATAAAACATCTGACAGCAGATGTAAGATAACTGTTGCAAAGAAAACTGCTCGCGAAAAAGGAATCTTAGCTGACTCTAGCCCAAAAAGGCATCCATCATTAACAAAAGACGTTATCGATTTAATTATCAACTTTTACGAAAATGATGAGAATAGTCGTTTGCTGCCAGGAAAATCGGATTTTGTTTCTGTCAAAGTAAGTAACGAACGTGTTCACATGCAAAAAAGATTAATTTTGACAAATTTAAAAGAGCTATACCAATTGTTTGAGGAAAAATACGCGGAAGTTAAATGTAGTTTTTCCAAGTTTGCAACTTTACGCCCAAAATATTGTGTCCTAGCAGGTGTAAGTGGAACACATTCTGTCTGTGTTTATGCCATACATGAGAACGTCAAGTCATTAATTGACGGGCCAAATATAAAACATCTGACAGCAGATGTGCTTTTTTATTCCGAAAGTTTTGCACTAATGAAGATAAGCTTTTGTTTTAATTTAAAGTTTAAAAAAATAATGTTCACTAAGTTATTAAAAAAGTAGAAAATAATCTTCATACCTCGTACTCGGCAGAGTCCACTTTTGCGTCCGAGGTACGAAAATAAATAACTATATTTCCATAGTAAAATATTAATATTGTTTTTTAGCATCACGAAGTTGCCGATATTGTCAATGAAGTTGTTGAGGATATGGATTGCGTCACAGGTGATCCTGTATGGTTTGATGGAGACAAAGAAACTACGTCCGAAGCAATCAATTGCATCAACGAGGGCTTGGAATTAATAGGAACTTCACCCATCAAGAAGGATAAAATTTCTCAAAAGCACTATGCGACTGCCAAAATTGAAAACATATCTAAAGCCATTTCAGAAAATATTTTCCATTATTGCTGTGATGTAAGTGATGCTAGTGTTGAAGAAAATGATGGAAATCATATATTACAATTGTTGAGAGAGGAATTTAATGCAACGATAGATCATGAAGAACAAATGGAAATTTTGACTATTTTTAAGGATTGGTCTTTTCGCAAAATTACGCATCATTTTCCTTCCGCTACTTTTCACATGATAACTGTTGCAAAGAAAACTGCTCGCGAAAAAGGAATCTTAGCTGACTCTAGCCCAAAAAGGCATCCATCATTAACAAAAGACGTTATCGATTTAATTATCAACTTTTACGAAAATGATGAGAATAGTCGTTTGCTGCCAGGAAAATCGGATTTTGTTTCTGTCAAAGTAAGTAACGAACGTGTTCACATGCAAAAAAGATTAATTTTGACAAATTTAAAAGAGCTATACCAATTGTTTGAGGAAAAATACGCGGAAGTTAAATGTAGTTTTTCCAAGTTTGCAACTTTACGCCCAAAATATTGTGTCCTAGCAGTTGCAAGTGGGACACATTCTGTCTGTGTTTATGCCATACATGAGAACGTCAAGTCATTAATTGACGGGCCAAATATAAAACATCTGACAGCAGATGTGCCGATCCCTATAAAAAGTTATCATGACTGTCTGAATCGTATGATTTGTGTTCAACCAACAACTGATTGCTATCTTGGAACGTGTTCCACGTGTCCTGGTGCAACACAACTGATAGACGAATTAGAAAATATTTTTCTTTGCGATTCTATTGACGAAATCACATACAGGCAATTGATAAACGTCGATAGAACAACTTTGCAAGTTATGGTATCACCAGTAGACGAGTATTTACAAAAATTGAAGATCGGTCTGGAAAAATTACTTCTGCACTCATACCTTGTGAAAAAACAAAATGAGTTTATGAATATTAAAAAAGAAAAGTTGACAGAAAATGAGTGCATTGTGGTTTGTGATTTTTCTGAGAACTATGCTTTTGTTATTTAAAATGCTGTACAAGGCATTCACTGAAACAATAATCAAGCCACAGTGCACCCATTTGCAATTTACAACAAAAATATTGACGGTGAAATTTGTATGAAAAGTTTTGTCATAATATCCGAATGTTTGCATCATGATACGATTGCCGTTCATGTGTTTCAGAAGTATTTAGTTCAATTTTTAAAGAAAAACTTCAAACAAATTAAAAAAATTATTTATTTTTCTGATGGTGCCAGTGGGCAGTACAAAAACAAAAAAAAAATGTTGCTAATCTCACTCACCATAAAGAAGATTTCGGTTTAGGTGCAGAATGGCACTTCTTCCCAACTTCGTATGGCAAAGGTGCGTGCGATAGCTTGGGAGGAACGTTGAAAAGATTAGCTGCTAGAGCCAGTCTGCGAAGAACAAACGATCCAATACAAACGCCAAGACAATTATTTGAATTAGCAACTAAAGCTCTCCCTAAAATAACATTACAATTCGTAGAAAATTATGATTGTTCAGAAGAAGAGAAAAAGTTGAAGGCAAGATTCGATAAGGCTTTAACTATCACGAAAAGTAAAGCATTAGCGAAGCATTTTTCTTTGCAAGAACATTCAACAGAATGTCAGTATTATAAAATGATTAAATCTCTTGTTACACGTTAAATATCTTGCTACATCTATTATTGTCACATTGCTTCAAATAGTATACGGGCTTGAATTTAAACATTCTTTGGTCTCTTGGATAGTTGTAATATGTGAGTAAATTTATTGATTAAAACACATTATTTATAAAATAATTACTTCAATGCATATTCCATTAACATTTAGGAGTACTCAAAGTTTTCTTATTTAAAAAAATGGAAGCACTAAAAAGACTGTTGTAAGTAAGTTAAACATTGTAAGATTTTTGAAACTGTGCGTACTTGTAATTTGTGAAAATATTCTACAGAAATATACCTTTATTTAAACGATAAACTAGTTTCCACTATTCTTGAACGACAAATCGCGTAAGCATCTCCAGGAACGCTGGTCGCGGCTTGACTCAGAAACGTTTTAGCACGTCAAGCTATGATCCACGCGCGACGCGCACGCCGCGCACTAGAAAATGTTTAATATTTTCCGATCCAATAAAGTCTCCACATTTCTTGAGTGTGGGTTTTTTAGATTAAAACATACTGCACACGATAGTATTTTTTAAAAATGTTATTCATTGAGGGGGCAAATGTAAAATAATTATTTAAACAATAAAATTATTAATAACTTTTTTAAATAACAGAATGAAGATCATTTACATATTCATTA